GACCGAAGGTCTGAAACGAAACGATCGAATCGCGAGATTATAATATACTATTATTGAGCGTATGCACAGTACCTATACCATATTTTAAGTACCTAGGTATACGCGTTTTCCATGTACGTTTTAGGAGTTTTTAGACGAACAGCGATTGTGCTCGGCGTTCGGCTTTTACATTAATCCTTGGATGTCACACGACGAGTAAAAAACCAGTTTTTTCCCTATACGCATATAATATATAATAATGCATCCGTCGCGTATAATATTATAGGTTGTTTCCCCCATTTTCTCACGCAATGAGGCCCCGGTTGCGGGTTCCTCGGACGCTTCTGCAGACACATAGTTTGTCGCAGTATATATTATATTAGGTATAATATACCTTGTGCAGGTACCTCCTATTTACTTTGTGTGTATTATATATATAGTGTCCTATAACCGCTGCCCTGTTATGTTATGTGGGAAGGGGTGGGAGATGGTATATACCTTCCGTCCCGTCCGATTCTATTTGGGGTCACCGAAGTCGGTACCTACATAATAAATACATATAGGTACTCTTGGGTATATATTAGATTTGAAACGCTGCTTCGGCCGAAACAGGTAAACACAGGTACCAATATATACCTATATATAATATGCGCGTATATATATATACATAGGCTTGAATCGGATTTGACCAATCGATGGCGAACCGGTCTGCGCTAAGCGACAAACGCACCGCCTCATTTTCAAAATGGTCGTCGTCATGGTCCCGGTTTTCACGTACACATAATAATAATAATAATAATAATAGAAATAGTAATAAAAATAATATATTATATGTTATATAGGCCTCTCGCGTATCTCTGCCTGTGAGCGTATCTCGCGCGCCGCCGAGTTTTTTAATTGAATATCATTAAACGTAAACGGAATGTCATCAATTCCTTTCTATTTTTTTTTGTTACATTCATACCTGTCTACACGCGCGAATTCGAAGTCTACGATATGGCACACGTAATACATCTAATAATAAATGTATACAGCCGTAGAGGTGATATACGCCTCTATATATATAGCTGGCAGTGTACATACAGCCATCGTGGAGAAGATGGTGTGGGCAGGGTACGATGGAATTGACCGACATTCGACGATCACGCGACACGCCTATTATCGTGTTCTTTTCCCCCGTTCTTGAGTCGAATATAATATAATGATAATTACATTACATATACCTGTATGGCTATATTATATCGTATTTATATATTATTACTATTATATGGAAACGGCGGCTAGACGTCCGTCCGGTACCTTTATATATATACATAGGTATTGCTCATAACATAACCTAGGTATAGAATGATATCTTGGAATATTTCGAAAATCCGTCGCCGCACATGCAATAGAAAACATGTTTTTACGGATGTATAGGTGTTGTAAACTTATACATACAGTACGTGTAATTTAATTTTGAATGCGTTTGTAATTTGCACACAAATTCAAATCGAACATTCTTTCTGTATAATACGTACAAGGTAAACGTTTCGGTAGTAGAGAGTACGTAAGATATTGAGATATGATTTAAAGCTAATAACACAGATTATTCCATTTCGGTTTCTGAACGGTCATCATTTCACCAATCCATAATCACACCGTTCTACGGTACCACTATATATTGCCTTATAAGTTATAATCGTTTTGGTGCAAATTACATTACACTATTTTCGGCTATACCTCCGGTGGTGCAAATTGCATATTATCGTTATTTTGGTGCAAATTACAAGCTTACATAAATATTTTTAAATTATAATATAGTACATTATTGTTATAAAAGAATTATGTCATTCGCGAGAACGTGTTTACTCTTGACGTAGAACTGCAATATATAGGCAGAATGTAGATATAATAAGTATAATATAACAGTATAATATGATATTATATCTAATGAGGATTTTTATTTTATTAGCAGCCGTCGACAAAATTAAATCCGCACACAACCGTGCAAGCCCATCTCCTCACTATAGAGTAAAAAGGTCTTAGTGTTTTAATATATAAACATTTGTTAAAAAAAACTTTAGGATGCTTCGGATTTTCGGTGAAAAATATAACATGTTTTTTATCCATGTGTGGGGGATTTTTCTAGTTGGCCATATTATATTATACCTATATCATCAAGTCTTACATAGTTTGTTATAAATATACAATATCTACACTTTATAGATTCTTAAGTCTAAACATCAGCGATTGTTTTTAGTTCTCAAGATAAAATATATAGGTACCTACAACCTATACCTATAGTTATTTATTAATTAGATAGAACTAAATAAATAGTTTTTATTCTGGGTCTTACAAATAAATATTTTGAACGAGGTTTGACTTTAAATTGAACACCGCCTAGCTATAGTTAATTATGCAAGTAAACGCATTTGGCTCGAATAATTTTATCACCTGCCGCAAATAGCCAAACCCTCAGTTTAACAAATTATTTTCCTCGTTATTTTGTTATTGAACAATATTTTGGTAACATTAAAAACTTTAATTTATTTTATACGCGTGGCACGCTGTGGTTATTATATTATTATATATTTATTGTAATATAAATTTAATACAAAATACTAACGTGTTATTAATTATTATCATGTTATTATGGTCACCTTCGATTGAGTATAGCATATTTAGGTACTGATGTTGTACCTATATAATATCTATATGTATACCTATTATAATGATCTAATCCGAAATTATTGCGTTCGTTTAAAATGCATTGCAGCATCGGCCATCGATGATGAATCATCTGGTTGAATGTATAATAGGTGAAGTATAGGTATAGATTATATAGTAGGAACATTGAGTTTGTACTCGAGCTTCACCAACTTTCACGTTATTTTTATTTATTTTATTTTATCAATTAAGGCCAAGATGAGCTAAAGTTACACAATATATATTATAAGCGTTAATTACATTAATTAGTTGATATAGAACATAATATAGTAAACACGGTGAATCATAAAAAAATCAAAATTTGTAAAGTCATTACAGAACATACACATACGGTTTAACGCCTAACGGGCTATAGTAACTGTAATATTCTGGACGTGGTATAGTCGATATGAAATAAGTGATTTCTAGAGTTGAATGTAGGTACCCTATATTATATATTCATATCGGATTAATTCTTATTTTCAATGTTCGCTTGTATGCCGATTTCCTTAACGCGTCGGTCACACACATTAAATATATGAATTATAATTATAAGCAATATAAAACTTCTAAAAGTTGAGCATAAAAAAATGTCTCAACACGATAGGAACAGTGGATGATGAAGAAGCAGGTGGTTATATATATTACTATTTCTTGTATAAGTAAAATACAATAAATGGTTAGGCTGGATGAGTGCAGTTCCTGGCGATGTGCTTAAACATACATTTATGGTGCTACAGTCTGATATTTGTTTTTAAGTTTATATACGTATATAACTAACTTTTAGTAGTTATATAGCAGTTTATTTTCCTGTAAGTATATTATAGTAACACAACACACGCCGCATATAATATTTCCTGTTTACTTGTTTAAATATTATGCAAATTTAGACTATTTAGACAGCAGCATCTCTCTCTCTCTGTCTCTCTCTCTCTGTGTCTCTCACACGCACAAATACATACACACCATAAAAATAGCAAATTTCATTAAAATAATAAACTCAAATTACGTATATTATGATGGAATGCGTTTATAATCTCGTGTGGAAATTTTAACAAATACTTCTTTTCGAAGATAATATAATAATAATATAATAAATCCTTTCAGCATTTCGCTGATCGGAATAATTTACAGCACTGAAAATTATACAATTTAATAATCTGCTGTGCGATAAGACTACGAATTTAAATCATTATCATTTGTTCTGTAATCGTTTATTCATATATACGCACGTTATAAATACGTACAGTTACTAGATACATTAGATAGTATACAGATAGCATAATATTAGCTGCACTATATTGTTGAAATTTCCTATGTATATTATGTTTGTAATGTAATATATTATAGTGAAATATTTACATTTAATCAGATAACAATATATAATATATAAAGGTAATACCAGTACTACTACTACAAAAAAAAAATTATAATCCATTCAACGTCTTTGCTGCAGGTTTATAGACGTTGAAATATGGCCGATATGCAGGTGTATTTAGCAATAGGATAAGCATATATATATAGGTAGGTTATATTGGATTAGAACGACAAAACAGAATCGTATATAAGTATCAGTACCTAGAAAAAAAAATTGTAATATCGTATAATTGCTATTTTTCTATTACGTCTATATATAATATTATAATGTTAATGTGTATAGTAAAATATAAAATTGTGTTATATAGAATTAGACCTTATAGTTTCTTAAAAATTAATGTCATATAATTTTGTTTGTATTATTATTATCGTCGATAAAAATTGTTGTCGAACACGACTATCATTTGCGTATGTGCAGATATGAAACCGGATTTATAGTATTGTTTTATAGTTTTTTTTGCCAACAGTGAATATATAAAATTCGTGGACCAAATCAGTCGAAAACAATCCTGAAATTGTACACTGCATATGTATAGGTGTTATAATATAAAACATAATATTATTATGACGAGCCGCTAGTGTATGCGTGTGTGATGTTACAGTGCTGTAGGTACACAGTATATATATGCATATCTGGTGTCTAAATCTTAAATATAGGTCGTATATAACAGTGCAGTATTACAATTTTGTATATATGCTCTCTGATTTTATTTCTGGAAATTCTAGTTTGTCGCTGTTGAGCTCATAGAGGTATTATATGCATATTTTTATTAGTGCAATACGTTTTTCGTTGCACACGACACGCAGGCCACCTCGGTCACCGTCGCTAATATTATATATAATATAGTATACAATTGTATTATATTATATCGTTATTATTAAAATTTGTATTACCGAGCGGTTATAAATCGTGCAGAGTAACAATATTATAACGTATCCGTGCTCTATGTTCACAGGGTTGGAAAGGATCGCTGAAGAGTTAATGGGAAGAAGAAAATGGCACCAGTATCAAGACATTTTGGCGAAAAATTATTTACTGGAAGAGGAATTGATGGACCGGAGAGAATGGGTTCCCGTCAAAACGTGTAATTCGTGTGATGTGAACACAGACCTGAGCGTAGCGGATCACTCACCTGCAGAACTGGTAATAATAATGCAAATAATTTAATATTTACAAATTTAAGATAGGTATACAGCGTGGGAAAACATTTGACAACATATATATATGGTCGTAATGAGCTTTGTATACTTGTTCGGATATATTGGTCTCCTTATATTATGAGGTTTTGAGTTTCATATAAATATTTTTGAAATTGGTTTTCTTCTAGTCGTTCGAAAAAGAGGGTATCCCAGTATCATTGTGGGTTTTCCTACTTTCCATGAACCATAGGAACTATTTTAATTTTTATTGAAGTGGAAGACTAACATATACTTACAGGACGGGCGTAGGTGTTTGACATAATAATTATAATTTTATTACTATTTAGATTAAATATAACTACTAGCGAACATTTTAAATTATGTTACATGTAAGTATAGATTCAATAATAATATACAGTCGTTAACTTGCAGTTGAGGGACCAGTCAAAAAGTTCGAGTTATCGACCATTTTAAGTAAAAAAAGTTTGAGTTAGCCAAGTTTGACTGTAATAATATAGGCAGCAAATGAAAATTGACAATAATTGGCATTATCGATTAGCACACTGGCATTTGTTACTTAAGTATTTTAATAATCAAGTTTAGTGAGTATTTAAATAAGCTCAACAAATTATATAATCATATAATATTAAATATTTATCATTAATATAAAATTTTTAAATTAATGATTTTAAACCAGTATCTATTGATCACAGCCTTTTGACACATCACCATGACACAATTCACCACCTATAGTAACTGGCAAGTTGAATATTTGTTTTTGATAGGTGGTAACATAAACTTATATAACTACTCATACATTATTAATTTAAAATTATGTAGTTCAGTAGTTGCAAATGATTATATACTATCGATGGTAGCTCATCGGTCTTATATAGGTAGCTATGTGTGCTGCTTTGTAGTGCGTCAAAATATTTATAGTTTAAATTAATACCCAACATTTGAATATGAGAATAGAAATGGCAAATTTCTAATATAAATTGTTATTAATATACTTAGGTGATGTAATTTTAAAATTATTTGACATTTCATTTTTCCACCAAGTATAATAGTTTATGATTTTTTTTAGTTTTTCACTTTAAAACTGTTAGGTACCTACCTGTAGGGTACCTGTTAGGTACCTACCTGTACAAAATTAGCTTAAATTATTATTAATATTCGCTTAGTTATTTTTATACACTTACTATTGTTATCTATGTTGAAGTTATATTGGCCATTGATTTTTATTTCCATTTACACAATTTGAAACCCCCAGAAATATGTCTTTGACAATACAATACTATTATATAGGTACGGCGTAAAATATATACTTAATTTATTATGTAACACACTATACACAATATGAATGCAATTTAGGACATCAGTCGCGGTTTAAACCATGTACCTATAAATACAGCAGTTAAATAGTATACCTAATTTTGAATTCGAAACCGTAATTAAAAACAATGTACTATGCGGCTCGCGAAGTATATAATATTGTTATTGTTATTGTTGTTGTTGTTGTTGTTGTATAACTGCAACGCGAGGGAGTTCAGGAGGTTTTTCAGTGGGACGTTTACCTTTTAAACGGCTGCATATATATATACATAATGATCGAGTCCACTTGTCATCGTTTCCAAGTGACCTACATTTCGCGTGGTCGTCATACGTACACCATTTTATTCATTTGCTTTTAACCTCTTACAGGAGGTTAGGTGCTCCGGAGAAATTATTATTATTCATGGTCGTTTTTTTATTCATAAATCGTAAAACACCGGAATAATGTGTAACAAAAGAAACGTTTCGCAGTCTTTTTGTTCGTTTTTTTTTCTGTTCTCATAAATTATATGTATAATATATAATATCATGCCCAACGCGTGTACCGACAATCGGATATCGTGTTAAAGGGAAATCACGCGCTCGTTCGTTCGATTTGTATTGATCTGAAATAAAACAACGCATTGCACGTTTGTAATTGTAAACACTGTAAATACAAGACACAAGTATAGTTTATTGTACTACCATAGTATTATAATATATTATCTATCATATACCTATATACGCTGAGGATCGTGGATTTACCAGACTGCGTGTGAATATAGTACAATAATAATAATAATGCGAATTATACCTACTGAAAATCATTACGGAAACATATTATACAAACTACAATTGGTTATATTTTTTTATTGAGTTAAGCCCGGCTGCAGGCTGCAACTATGGCCTTTAGCTGTTTGGGGGGGGGGGGGGCGGTTGTGATTGGAACACGTTTCGTATGTGTGACAAGGATTTGCAGCTAAAAATCCCTGGTGGTCACCCATCCGGGAGCTAGCAACACCGGCACGATGCTTACATTCGGAGAGTTTCCGCCGTGCCAAACCAAGGCACAATTATTGGTTATATTGTTAAGTCTAAATTACATAGATATAACTAGGTATAAGCATAATATGTACCTATACTACTATTTTAGAGAATTATTATTATTAGTATCTATTACCTCGACATCAAACAATTTATAGCGGTAGCCTATATATATAATATGATACGTATGCCAAATTGCCAAAACTATACCCAATCAAATTATGATAAATATTGTCGATCTCTGTGTCTGTTTATAATATTTATTAGCGATCGTTGATTTTTTTTCTATTAAAATGTTTTTTGTTAAGTGTTGTGTTTTTGGATAAGCGATTCATGGCTTTTACAATACATGTTTATGTGCACTGCATAAAAGTTTACACATTAATTATCCGATGCATTTAATCGATTTAGTGTAGGTATAGTTTCAGTGTACATAGACATCAATTGAATGCCTAATAACGCAATGCACATTTATATGGTGATATTATGTGTCAACGTATTTTATTCGTTTATATAGATAAATATTAATATGTAAGCATTAAATTAATAAACTTATTTGCATGATCGAAAATCACCGAGCCGTAACTTACGTACTTGTATATGTATACTATATACCAACAAGTATGCAACTGTAGATAATCTAAAAGTAATACGGTGTACTTCAATTATAACCAATATATATATAATTATTAATTTATTTAAATATATACACAAAATACACAAGTAATATTAAATTCAATATTGTGCTAAATGTGCCAATGCTTTCAAACACGTGCTCGAAAGCGAAAGTAACGAGAACATAATATGCATAATATAAAAATTACGGAAATTGCAATTATCAAGGAAAACGTTATAATTAATGTATTATAATATAAAGTGACTTGGGACTACTAGGGTGTGTACTTGTATAAATCTACCTTATTAATTATTACACTATTCGTGTACCTAAAGTATTTTATCTTACGTCATCTTGTTCGTTGTACAGTCTTTGCTTAAAATTTGAGTAATAACTAAATTGTAGACACCTTAAGTGTATATGGGTAATTAACACTTCATAGTTTCCTATAAATATATAACATACTTCAACATTAATCGGCCGAGTATGTATTTTATATTATAAATTTAGACATACACTTATTACAAAAAAACTGGGTACCTACATTATTTAATCAACTTAATATTTCTACTGAAAATATTTCATTTAGATTAATACTTTTTTTTTAAACCAGTGAAGCTTTTATTTCGTTTAACTATACGTCAACGTATTTACATTTTTCTTATAAATCTTTTATTACTTAAACAATAAAAACATAAATAATTTATAAAATACAGTTTTTTTTATTTAATACAATAATTTGATAGATACACCGGCATAATTGCGTAAATCATCAAAGAAAAAAATAACAATTTTACATTTCAAGAATTTTTTTTATTATCGAGATTTATTTCTGTATCATATTACATTAATTTTATTATTTCAAGAATATAAATTGATTTATAATACAATTATTGCAAAATAATTACTTTTGGAGAGCACATACAAATACTTTATTAGGTTTCAAGTATAGTGCAAGAATTGTTATTTCAACGAAAACCTTGTGCCAACACCAATGGTGTTAAAAGTGTAGTTTTAAAATAAAAAACAAAATATAAACTCTTTAAATCCTTGTATAATGTTATTATGTAGGTAGGTAGGTAGGTACCTATTAATCTCGTTTTATCGGCTAAATTATATTATTTTTATTCACATCAAAGTCGAGTAGAGCTCAAATGTCTAGGACATTTTTTCTACTGATATTATAATCATCGTCATAGAAAAGTGTCACACTAACTGCAACTGCATCGGCTGGTGTAGAAGGATTATCTTCGCTGTCATACTTGTGCATCGATTTTGCTACATCGCAATTTGTCATATTATTTTATACTCCAAACTTTTTGACCGATTTCGTATCACTGAGGTGAATCGTGACTCGTTGGAAAAGTTTCGTTTGTCCTCGGCAATAATTTAAATTATTTATCCCTGAAACAATATTATGCTATTATTATCAAGAGAGGTTAGGATGCGTACAGCACGTTAGGTATCTACCTGATTCCGATCGTCCGATTTGGCGTTTCCTATAACAGTAGGTACCTAGGTATATACTTATATGGTTTTGCGGTATTATATTATTATCATTATTGTTGCACGCATGTACCACATGGTGCGGAGCGATTTATAAAATAATATCATATTATAATCGATTCGCTTTATCGCGATAAAAACTAATCGGAGGACAGTTTCACCGGATTCGATTTAGATTCATATCGTATGCGTCGAAGGTCCACAACAAGAGCTGTCTAATTTTTTTATAATTCCTGCTGCAGTGCGATTTATCCTAAGAATTTGGTAGCCCCCAGGAGAGGTATCTTTTTTCTGGAGCATTCAATAACCTTCCCAACCTTTCAGTAGTGTATTTATGTTCGGAATTTTAAACCTGTAGGGGTAAAATAATATAATATTTATAGGAAAATTGCAGTAAATTGCCGCTGGGGCTGCATGCATTCCTCGGTAGGATCGTTTTTGAAAAACTGTGAAGGTGATACGAACGGTATATAATATACTGTGAAAAACGTTGCAGGTAACGGATGTACGTATATAATGTATAATATTATACAATATAGTTATGATATTATTTAACTAAAACATCATTTTTATCTTCCAATTCAAAAAATCTAATTTAATTTGACGCATATAATATATTATTTTGTAGTCCTGAGGTATTCAAATCGTTTCATCACTATTGGTTCGTTCGTCGAGATCTCTACAAAACATAGGTACACCTATATAAATTGACCGCTCCCAAATTATTAATGATGAAAAAATATAATATTTATATTAATTGTAAAGCTACAATGTCCATCATGGCATATTGGCCTGACATCATCATCGTTATTACATTAATTTATTTTATTTTTCTGTGCCACTTGACCAACACTTTCGACGCCTATCGCAAGCAATTTGAATAAATCTGGTCTAATGATTACTATCGAACGATACTGGAATCATTTTCATTGAATTGCATATTATTATCATCGTATCACTTGGAGAAGTTACACTCACTAAGACTTACTACCATCTTACTCTTACTAACACTATAAGTTAGTGACTATATAACTCTATTTCTTGGCTAACAATGTTAACTTAACGTGAGGTATACTGAAGTGCGAATGTACCGATGATACCTAGTCATTTTTCAATTACCGCCTGTGTCTTTTGGCCTTCATTGATCATTAATTGACATTAATACTTCGGAGTTGTAATTAAGCGACCAGCAGACAGTTTAACACAGTTTTTGGTAGGTATTACACGTTTATTGATAATTTTAACACACACACCGTGAACATAATTAATACATATCTGAGTTGATTGCAAAGTGTATCGAATTTTTTCTCATAAAAATGTGCAGAATAATATTATTATTAATTTTCATATACATGCGTATTCCTATAGTAGGTATATTATTGTCTAATGACAGCAACAAGACAGTGTCGTATTAGCAACGTTTTATTACAATGGTCAAATTATAATTTTGTGCTAAATTTGCCTCATTTGCCTGACCTTTATATTGATTACTTATCTTGCTAAAATATAATTATCATACTATATTATAATATTATGTATTTAGGTAATACTTATCTGTATAGAAATAAATGTTACTTTGTTTGTCCTCTAGAAATCACTAGACCGTTTTCAATTAAATTTTATCAATTGATTCATAGAGACAAGGATGGTGTATGTAGCTTATTTTTGAACCCCTATAGGTTACACATGATTTTAGTTTTGGATCAAGAAAATAGAATATTTTTTTGTTTATTTAAATGATTGCCATTGGTCAATATATATATTACTATTATAATTAGTAGAATATGGAATATAAAAAATATTAGACTACAAGTTGTATTACATAATAATATTTACGGGTAAAACAAGGTAGGTATTGAACAAAACATCGTCTAAAAACAATAAGCGATATTTTCAAACATAATAAAAAATGATATGCAAATTAAAAACTACGAAGTAATTTAAAAATAATTTGTCCCATAAAAATAAAATTAGTTATAAACAAAATAAGAGGTACAATTTTTTTTTTCAAGACCGTGGACTGGCGAAGCCTCGGGTAATTCAGCTATAGGTAGTGTTTGATAAAATATTTGAATATAGAAAATTAATTACTATACCGTTTGTAATTGTAACATTTATACGACAATTACTTATCATGTTCCTTGTTCGCAGGAGCCATCGTCTGAAACGGGAAGCTTGAGCGGCGGCAGTCGCAGCGCAGAGAGTCCGGAACCGGAACCAGGCAGGCGGTCGTCTTGCACACCGCCCCCGGCGGCATCAGAGCCGTGTCGCGTCGATGACCGGTCCCCGCCACCACCGCCACTACTGTTGCTGCCCAACCCCACGGCCGCCGCCGCCGCCGCAATGGCCGCGGTCGCCTCTCTGAACAACTCGTCGTCGTCATCGTCCACGACGACGATGACACCGGCGGGCGGGCCACCATCGCCCAGCGCGCTGGACGCCGCGGCCGCCGGCTTGCCGAAATGGCTGTTGGCCGCCGCCACGCTCAGGCTGCAAGAGACCACGGCCGCCGCTGCAGCGGCAGCAGCAGCGGCCACGGCTGCAACCTCGGCGGTCACCAGCAGCAGGTCGCCACCCGCCCACCGTCACCATCAACAGCAACAACACCAGTCGCTCGATCAACCGCTCGATCTCAGCGCCAAGAGCAACAACAACAACAACAACGTCAGCGGTCCGGGAGCCAACGCTTCGTCATCGCCCGCGTCGTCCACACCGTCGTGCCCGAGCTTAGCGTCTACGCCGTCGTCGTCCGAGCTGAAAAACGCGTCCGCCACCATCGCCACCAACCCGTTCACGTCAGATCTCATCGCCACGGACATGGTTAACCAGCTGCGCGACCTGTTACCGGGTACGTCCACGTTCCTCCACCAACCGCTCAATGTGCCCATGCTCACCACCAACAACAGGAACATTTTCAAGTGAGTGGCCGTCTTGACTTTAAAACTTGCATATTGTAGTAATATAATATATTATATTTGTTATATTACACATTATAATTCGCACCTCTAGTACAAGACTGCGAGCACTGAAAATGTTAAGTTTTGAGAAACAGTGATTTGAAGTATATATATATATATCTAAGATATTTTAAAGAGTTATTCATTAGTAATATGAATTTGAAACTAAAAACTTAAATACTTACAAACATGTTTTACAATATATGACTTCTTCAAATATTACGAATTACTCGCTTGAGCCCAATGATTTATACTATTATGTCCTTTTACAATTTCTCAAGTGAATGCAAGACTGTCATATTTTAAGATTTGGTGGTAAAACATTTCTATTTGAAAATACAAGACTGTCGTATTTCACTGTTCTCACTGTTGCAATATCAAACAACTTATGAAATGCAGTACCTTGTATCTATGTATTGCTGTTTTCCGCTCAACACATCACACGACTGCAGTTATCGCATGAACGCCACAAACCGAAATAAGGCAGACATGAATTTTTACATTATTGATTAATTGGGTAAATTTTTGGAATGAAATTATTTTGGAATTTAAATTTTTAAATGTTAAATAAAAAATTATATTGAAATATTATGTTGCGTTCTTGCAGCATTATAATATAAAGAGCTGTGTCTGTACTACTCGGTAGTAGTCATAGTTCAAAGCTTATGAATTTTTAGTTGTGACGGTCTTGTATTCTAGAGGATCTAGATGGAACCCTTTTAAAAAAATTCATTGCAACTGTATTGCAACCGTGCACTTTGTCAACTTCTGCATGTTTTCCGTTCGATCGATTCGACAAGAACTGTTTCGTTATCGTGATTTGCATCGACCATTTTTTTCCTTACATAGTTGCAAAAACAAAAAAATCATTCCAGCTGGCAATTATCGCGTGACTATACATATTGCAGTTACATTGTCGTTGTTATTGTTAACGTTGCAGTGGCTTTATGTAGGTAGTGCACATGTAAATGCGTTCGCCTTAAAAATGAATATTGTGCCCGTAATAATAGTACTTGTTTTGGTTTTGCGAGTGCGGCGAATATAATGTGTACACAGTACGTCATAATGGAGCTTGTGGCTTACAGATGTCCAAAGTTTGTTGATGAGATGCATTTTCAAAATATACATATTTGTAGGTACAGTCGGTTTGTCTATACGGTGTACTTTACCTTTAAATCAGAACACAGCAAATTACTACCTCTGTCGGTATTATCTATATATTTTATTATGATTGTGCGAATACATTATTCGATAAACCGAGAAAACTAATTTCGGCTTATCTATATATAGATTACATCGCATGCGAATTTATTTAGAATGCGGTCGGTTATTTTTCGTATTTTTCGTGATTACATATATAATATGCACACATAAACTCAGTGATCGTTTCGTCCATTAATGACGAGATAATATTATAATACTGGAGGTTAAAGGAGAACTCACGTCATATATTTTATATGTGCAGTGTTATTATGTAGGTACCTAAATATAGGTAATATGAATTCGAAATAAGCATTTATAGGAATCAATGTCTAATTACTGGTTGTATAGACACGGACTATTACTAATTCCATACTTACGTACGTGTACGATAGCAGCTGACTCGAGTCGCAACAGTCCGGGGATCGTTAGGTTACCATCCGTGGTACACGCACGTACCGTTCGTGGTACGTGCGATAGTGTTAGACAGTTTTAGACATACCTTTGAAACCGCGCGTAGAGTAGGACAATACATCGAGATTTAACAACAGACGTATTTCTATAAACTCGACAAAGTCCACTATTATGATCTTCACAACTAGCTGGTTTAAGCACCCATAATACTACGCGTATGTTCAAACAATTTCGTTTGTTTGTGTGTTGCGCCGCAGTGCTGAGACCTCTTTTAACTTTACGCTTCCATTTTACAGATCAAAGACGGTGAAACAGCCCAGTCACATGGCCGGCCGAAAGACTTACACGGAGGACGAGTTGCAAAAGGCGCTTCGGGATATCCAGAGTGGCAAGTTGGGCACGAGACGTGCGGCCGTCATATACGGCATACCCAGGTCGACGTTGCGGAACAAGGTGTACAAGTTGGCGCACGAACGGGACAGTAACGGTGGCGGCGGCGTAGGAGTAGGCGTCATCAGGGATCCGTCGACGGGCGGAGACGACCCTTCCAATGGACCGGCCACCGAGCTATTGCCGTTGCTGACCGAGGATGACGACGACGAGGACAGGGACACGGCATCCGTGGGCGAAGAAGAGTGCTCAAGCAGAGCGGCTGCGGCGGCGGCGGCAGCAGCAGCAGCAGCAGCAGCAGCCGCAGCAGCGGACAGCAAGGACCGCCACCACGTGCCACAGCCACACCATCAACAACCACCGCAACACCGCAGCCAGCAGCCCAGGACAGCGTCGCCTTACATGACCGTCGAAGACTTGTTGCGGATCACGGCGGAACAACAGCAGCAGGCGGCCGCGGCGTTGCCAAATGCAGAGACGCTTCGACTGTTCTTGCAACATTACGCCAACAACAAACTGCTGCAGAACAGGCCGGAACCGCATTATCGTAGCCGCGACGTATCTATGACTGACGGCCGATCGCCTTCGCCACCATCCACCTCCGCCGGCCCCAGGTTTCCGCCCATGACAGCGGACTTATGGCCGGCAGCCGCAGCTGCTGCGGCCGCGGCCGCGGCCTTGGACCCGCAACACATGGGAACCTATCTATCGCAGTTGCTGTCTTCATCGGTGGCAACAGGGTCACCTTCAGCTGTACTAGGATCGCCACGCTTGTTGCCGCCACACGACAGTCCACCACCGCCACCACCGCCACCGCCACCGCAGCAGCAACAGCAGCAAATGTCTGCGGCCCACCACCAGCATGAATTATTCCTAAAAGATTTCACCGTCAAGGACTTGATGCGCAAAATACTGGACGAAGAGCAACAACAGCAGATGCAGCACTTGCAGCATCAGTTCAGCAACAAGTTGGCAGACCCGAGACGGTGGTCGTCGAACGGCTGCAGTTCATCTGAACCGATGGACACGGGCCGCAGCAACGACGATGACTCAAACCCGTCCAACGTCATCCTTAGAATACCATCGTACAAGCCGATTCCCGGTGGTAAGGGTAGCGATTACGAGTTGGTGACGTGCACCAGGGACATCCGGTCCCCGGGCCGAGCCAACAGTGTACGGAGTGACACGTCTTCACCACCATCGTCATCCGGTGGTGGTGTTGGCAACAAACATCCGGTCAACCTGAGAGACGCGATCGCCAAGAGCATCACACAGAGGTTCCAGTCTACGTCCGATCAGTCGATCCCACCACCCATACCAGCCGTCGAGTCGTTTGCCCGGGCCTATCAACAGTACCAGCAGCAACACCACCATCACCAACAACAACAACAACAACACCATCACCACCTTCAGCAGCAGCATGGCATACCCACCTCGTTCGGTACTGGTAACCCCGTCATCAGGAACCACAACAACAATAATTTGCAGCAGGACGACTGTCGGAAACGGGTACCGACGCCCACCAACAAAACATCGTCGGTCGTAACGCCATCGTCCACCGTCGCTGGGTTCCACACCGGCGGCTCGTCGTCGTCATCGTCCAACTCAGCGTCGGCTGCAGCAGCGGCTGCTGCGGCTGCGGCTGCGGCGGCGGCCGGTGGCAAGGGCACCAGACCCAAGCGGGGCAAGTACCGAAACTACGACAGGGACAGCCTGGTGGAAGCCGTGCGGGCGGTGCAACGCGGTGAGATGAGCGTGCACCGGGCCGGTTCTTATTACGGCGTACCGCATTCTACGCTCGAGTACAAGGTCAAGGAGAGACATCTTATGCGACCCAGGAAACGTGAGCCCAAGAACCCTCCGGCCTCATCCTCCGCGTCCACGTCGGTGGCCGCTGAACATCACCCGGACCGAAAAAAGTCGTCGTCCGACCTGTCGTCTTCGTCGTCGGTCGTCCGGCCAGCCGACAAGACGACTACCACCTCGTCGTCCTCTTCGTCAGCCACGCCGCCGGCCATCAAACTGCCTGCGCACGTCCAGTTTCCGTCGCAACAACAACTGTCGCCGCTACAGACGTCCAACGGGCTCAAGATGTTTGACGCCGCGGGACCTGTGGGCCCGTATCAGCCGTCGTTCCCGTTCTGGGCCCCCAGCCCGTTCCACGTGCCCATGGAGTTCCAGAGGAATCCGGTGGCGTTTGGGCCAATGTCGATGATGCAACGGATCCAGGCCGAGTCACGGCTACACCACCACCAGGCCGCGGCCGCTGCTGCAGCGTCCATCGCAAGCCTGGGCAAGAACGCTCGCGAGGTGGCCGAAAACCTGTACGACGGAACGGATAACGGCAGCTTCCTGGACGGCATCATCAGGTCCAGCTTGGAGACGGGGCTTAAATCGGCGGCTGCCATGGCGGCCGTCCAAGCGGCGGCCAAGAGCGCCACGAAGGGAGGAGGGGGAGAAGGCAGCGGCGGTGACGACGACTGCAGTCGGGACGGTTCACAGCGAGCAGCCGGTGCCGAGAACGACGGTGACCACCACATGGAAGACCTAGCGGCCACTCCACCGTCGTGCCAGGACTCGGCCGCGGACAGCGATGATGAGAAGCCGCGGACCGAGTCACCGGACGGACAGGAACATCGTCACGACGATTCCGAGCACGAAACAAATGCTGATCGGGCGTCCACCGCTTCGCCCGAACACGCGACAGAAACGGAAAACGACGACGATGACAACGACGCGGTCGTCTGAGGTAAAACCGTTGGTATACATAATAATATTATGTTAATGATTAGTGTGTTTAAAAAAAGTTATAAAAAAATTGGGAACAAATCGAATAAGTGTTTCGTATAAACATCGTCTTATAATGCGACGATTCGTGTGTGTAAATACATAATTTTATTATAATGATATTATATAATATTATGGCGGTGTAGAGAACTTTATGGCTGCCGACTAAGAAAAGTATATTATTATTATTACTATAATCTTATAATAGAATAATATGTGGTGTGAGTTTTCGTTTGTTTTGTTTCGGTAACGATTTCGATTGAGGATGGAAAACGGAAATGATGAAAAAAAAAATGTAATCGGTTAGTGCAATTTTTACGTAGTTTTTGTTAAAAATTGAAATAATAATACATTTATGTTTAACGCTCATTACTAAACTGCTGACGGTAATGAAAACCACCATGAATATTGTTATTTCGCGGCGTCCTTTGTGATAAAAAAAAAAATTGTTTATATTCGTTTACGTTGTGTTTTTCTTTTGTAATTTAAAAACAAAAAATCTTTCGTTTTTTTTATATGAAATTTTATTGCACTACCATGTTTTAAGTCTACGAATATTTTTGGTTGTAAACGTCCCATTATTATATTTTGTACAGTGTAAAAAAATGTAATAATTTATTTTACTATTATATAATATATATTATTATAAATCATTATTATTACTATAGTAGCGATATACGCTATCGTATATAATGCGTAATATTGTATTGTATTGATTAATATCACGGTCTTACGTATGCCTATGTATATTATATCATATGATATTTAATCTGAAATTATAATGGTAATCGATACACGGGCCAGAGGGATGTATATATCTTATTATATAATACTATATACACATTATACATATTATTGTATAAGAAAACCGCATGAAAATTTTTGTGCCATAAAAATATTGATATAACATAATATATTATAGGTAATAATATGTGTACTGAGATATTTCATTGGTCGAGCCCTTCGCATTAAATGGATGTTTATAATTGACTATATTATTTTTTAATCGCGTGTTCCATACGAACAAACATTTAATTTATTAAGTTTTTTCGTTTTATATACGTAAGGATATTGTTTTTTTTTTTTTTTTAATCACTTCTATATTTGTATGTATATATATATATGAAAAAAAATTGAATAATTTTTAAGACTATTATTTTGTATTATTGTTCCTTTTAAACGTGTCGAGGAAAACGATGATTATATAAACTTAAAGAGCAAATATTAAAAAAAAAAAATGTACATATATTATTTTAGTGTTCGATTTATAATAATATTATTATCACGTGAAAGTCTGTAATTTTTTTCTCGATTTTTAATATATATATTTTTTTTTAACTCTAATCATATCATTACGACATTAGGTAGTTGTTTTTTTTTTATATATATATAATATATATAGAGAGGAAGGTTGTGCTTTGATTATATTATGTACTCATTCGGCCGCAATCAAACCTGTGTCTAAGGGGAATGATTTACATTCCATACAACGCGATATATATAGGTATTATATACATATATAATTGCTGAACTCAAATTTTTATCTCCTGTTTTTCGTGACATTTTTTTTTAAATCCCAAAGACAGCAAAGCATTCCAAAATAAATTTTTTTTTTTTAAAAATATAATATACGTACGTTTATTCTATAACGAGTATCGTGTTCATTTGCATTTGTAATTTTCCGGGGGGTGGGGGGTGGGAGGGTATATAATATAATATGACAGAGCGTTACGGAACTTATGGATTTAATGTTGTATATTGTTATATTGATATTATTAATGTGTAATCAAATAATTTGTGTTCATTGAAAAAAAAACATATTTTTAAAATATAGGCTATAACTATTTATTATAGTCTTTATATTAAAATGTATTGTTGTACAGTGTTTTTTTTCTTTTTTTTTTTTGTAATTATTTAAGTCTCAGACATCATGCGTAGTGCTAATGTAAAACTGTGTATTTCATAATATGATCAAAACAAAATATTTTTTCAATTTGTATCCTTACGTTTTTAGTTATTATTTTTTATTGAAATAATATCGTATATGATAAATATTATTACTGTCGAATTGTGTCGTTCATTTTACTCTGTACAAAAATATTATTTTTAATAATAATACAAACTTCTTTGAGGTCAATTTTTGTACTAATAAAATAGTTCTTTTTTATGATCGTACATATTATACTATACCTACATATTTTTATCATGTACCTACGACCTACCTACTATTTCGCCGTTGCAGTCATCGCCGCCGTATTTTTCAACCAGAGGGGCTTCAGGGGACTCAGTATCCAGAAACTTCAATCGTCCAACCCTCTCTCCCCCCTCCACAAAAAAAAGAAAATTGTAGAATAAACATGACCAAATTTCTGTCAATAGTGTACTTATATAATAATTAGTAATTACTACAGAACATGCGCTCTACATAGATCACAAAAAATATGTTAGATTGCCGACGACACCATTACTCTGCTAATAATATAATATTGTACCTACTGTGAATTATGATATTTATATTATTCATTCCTCCATATTTTAAGTGATCTATTAAGTATATTATAATATATGCAATATACCTATCGCCTACGTACCTATTACATATATTACCTAGGAATAGTGTTGTCGTGCATTTCAGTTTAGTTTGATCGAAACCATTAAAATTTAGTCACATACCTGACATATATAAAAACTAAACAAAAAGAGTTGTGAAATATTCTAAAACGATCCTGAAAAATCGACCACGCTGACGCTGGTAAGTATATAACTAACATAATATATACATAATATATTTATATGTTCGCACACGAATATATCATAATATACAGTGTGAATGTGTGATTTACAATGCGTTATAAGTTCTAACATTCCTTTTATATCCCATAAGTTTAATTAGAGTTCACATTTTCAAATACCTATATTTACATTTTTTATACCATTCGATTTTAAGTTTTTTCCGGCTATACAAAATTATTTTTACCAACTGAAAACCATAATTTATTCATTATAAATTATTGTGAAGCAGATAATTGTCCTAAACATTTTTATTTTTGTCTATATATAGATTGACATTTTACTTTCTACATTATATGTAATATTTAGTCTAGTATTTATATACTTGTATACTCCTAGCTGTTTCACTCCACTACACCGCTCATCAAAATGCAAATATTATAAGTATCATAACTAAGTAGTCTACAAAATAAAAAATATTCAAAAAAGTTGAAACATTATGCAATATATTGTTAAAATGTTGTTTTGTAACGAATTAAAATTAACGTAACAGCTGGGCCAGTGAATGAACCGGTCCATCAAATGAAGACTCTGCAGTTTTCTTTAAATAGTAAGGAATACCTATGTAAAAAAAAACACTATCAAAAACGTTGATATAGTGTTTTTAAAAAAATTAGTGTTCTCTGATAATAGAATCGGCTATAGTAGGTATTATGCCATATAATACATGCTGTACGGGATTATTACGCAAGGACTTTACAAATTACATACACTAAACCTACCTCAAAGTATTATAAAATATATATTATTATCTACATTATATTGTAGATCTACAATCTCTCTTATTTTCATCGAACAATGATACTTTTCAATTATTCTCGATGTCGAGTTATAATACAACTATCGGTAAAAGATTTTCGATCGTTCCCGCCGTATACATTTTAAACACGAAAAATGTTTCATAATAATCATATCCACAGCCTGCACCAGTCATTATTATTATACAGCTGCAAATTCCACAAGTCCACGAACGGTGGCGTCCGTGGGCATTTTCAAGGGTGGAAGGGCGGGAGGTGTCATCTAGGGAACAGACACTCCATGGCTATTTTTTTTTATTCCGCCAATTTTGTACGCACTTACTACTCCAACTGGCGAATAATGTATTTTATGTGATATTTTATATTATATAATTTTTGATTCGTTATATTTTTCCATATTTTTTAAATTGATATATAGTATCAACCGTTTGAAAATCTTGCTATAGGTACTCGTATTCCGTAACCAGGAATATACAGGTAAAACTGAATGACAACAAATCATATATTATGGTAACAATTCAGTATATATGTGTACACAGCTGTCTATAGGTACAGCAGGAAGAACATTTTAATATTTAATGTATAAGGACCACGACCGAAGTAAGGTGATAATCTACTAATTTGACTTACTAAATATGAAGTGAAGTAATCCCTTATTCATGGTATATCCAAGGATAAAAATAGGATTTGGTTCCGGATGAGTCCGTGATGTCATGACTCAAAACTCAAGAAAATTTGGTTAGTAAGTATATTATAATATATGAATTAAAATTACATTTTTTATAAATATCAGGAGTACCTAGTAAAAATTGCATTTATTGAAATTGTATATACATATTCAATTAAAGTTATGGTTTTGAAGGGAGGACGCTATTACCCTATATATGACTAACCTTTCAATTAATTTTGCCACCCCTCCCCCTTCTCATCGTAATAATTCTCAAGTATACTATATCGTTATGCGCCTGTATAAATACCTACTATACTTCATATAATATATTATATTAGTAATCTCAAGCATTTGGTAGGTACTTACTTAAATTAAGTAACTATTATACCTGTGTAATATTATGCGAATTCCGCCTATATTAGTTACAACAAATCCTTACGATATAATCTATATGAAATATTTTAATCTCACGTATGTATTTTTTTCACCTCTTATCTCGATAATATACGAACCCGCGAATACCTAAGGTCCGGGAAAACCAATCGTATCGCCGAATATAATCAATAGAATTATGTATAGTCTTATTATTATAAATAGTATTAATTATTGAGTAATTATTGATTGAAAGGCTGGGCAAGTTAATGATTTTTTTTTAACTCTAAGTCAAGTTAATATTCACCAATAACAAAAAGTTAAAAGTTAATTTAATTATAGGTATTAACTCAGTTAAGTTAATAGTTAAT